CATTCATCCTGTCTTTTTACTATATTCTCAGATATGTTTGTTATCATTCGTGTTTGTTGATTTGTGAAGCCCTCTGAGACAGATGTGATTTGTGACATTGGGCTATATAAATACATTTGGATTGATTTGAATATAGTGGGTTAAAGGTCACTACTAAACGTGTGTGTGTTGGTGTGTGTGCTCCTGGCCTCTCACCGCTGCCCAGTCTCATGAGTAGTACGTCCTGCAGCCTCCTGTTGAAGTCCCTCAGCTCTTTGACTTCCGTCAGCAAGCTGCCGTACTCCTTGAGCTTCTTGGCCTGCTGCACCAGCTGCCTGCGGGTCCTCTCCAGCTCCTGCTGCAGCCTCCTCATCTCCTCCTCCTGCTGCCTGTAGCTGAGCACCAGCTCCTCGTACAGGACTCTGGGAACCACCGCTGCAGACACACAGTCCGTTTCCACCTCCAGAAGCTGCTGTGGCTGTGGTGGATGATGATGAGGCTGATGAGGCTGATGCTCTGCCTCCATATCTTCATCTTCGTCGTCTGCATCCTCTCCCTCTTCACCCAGCCGGTCCTCATCCAGGTCTTCCTCTCCCTCCATACAGGAGCTGGCTGCGTTCCTCTCGAGGCGAGCCACTACTGCTGCGAGGCTCTTAGAGGAGTTTGAAAGGGGCCGTCCGTGGTCCTGAGACAGAGCCTGGAACAAATATCAAGAGTTCATTTAGGAAATCAAAGTCAAAGGCAACTTTATTATACAATACGTTAACAACCGTGCAATATATACCTAGCTGCTAAATCCTCAGAACTGTTACAGAATGTGTATTTTGTAAATTGTGTAACTTTTTTTTATTATAATACTTTTTTGTATCCATGCTTCTTCGTTAGCATTAAGCTGTCTTTGGCTCGTTTCTGCTGTAACAATGTACATTTCCCCTCTGTGGGACTAATAAAGGGATTCTGATTCTGAAAAACAAATATATATAAAAATATGCACACATTAAGACTTAAATAAAAGCACAAGAATCAATATATACAAAATAACAGTCACTTCAATATCTTTGAGAAATATAAATTAGTGCATGACTGTCCATAGCAGCGTAAAAAGTGTCTGGTGCTGGATTTGAGTGTGTGTGTGTGTGTGTGTGTGTGTGTGTGTGTGTGTGTGTGTGTGTGTGTGTGTGTGTGTGTGTGTGTTGAATGTCTGTGGTGTTGAAGTCCAGTGGGGGCGGGGGGGGATACAGGCCGATGTAGTGACACTGTAAAACTTTAAAAGGTTGATCATTCAAACACAAAACAGGTGTTTGGAAGAGGGCCTAATACACTTTAACAGAATATCTCAACGTTCTGCTGCATCAGTGCACTTAATGTGAGATGTTGTGATTCGGTTGAACACTTAGCAACAACAGACAGTTTGTTTTGACTGTTGATCTCACAGGAACTGGGAGAAGAGGAGTCAGCGAGTTCTTTGATGAGCCGCTCAGAGGATTTGTCTGTGGAAGGGCAGCTGTCCAGAGTGCTGAATTTGTGTTAATCCAGCATATGGTAAAAATAGCGTGGGGGATTTTGGGTGTCAGCCAAGCTTATTGAAGTGTAACAAAGTTTAACCAATAGATAGGTTAGATAAAAATAATGATGTGTATGCTGTCATACATGTTCTCACAGTTAGTGCTGATATAACTGTGATTCAATGAGAACATATTTAAGGTCCTTAGTGACACGACACAAGATGGTCAATATAAGTGGGATACTTCACTAGAAATGCACTAATCTGAGCCACCTCAAACATGGTTGATTTTAATTTGTTATCAATCAATTAAAGTTTATTTTATTTAATGTCACATATTTTAGATTTTTCTCAATGGACTTTACAGTTTGTAGAGAATATGAATACCACACCCTCTGTCCTTGGACCCTCACATCGGACAAGGAAACCCCCCCAAATAAAAATCCCAATTAATGGGAGAGACCCCCCAGTTAATGGGAACATTGATAAAACGTATGGGAGAGAAACAGAGGGATCGGAAGTGCAATAGCTGTCGTGTGTATGTTGAAAAAATAATACATACATATTACATAATTAATTTAGCGTCTTTGAGCATTAGGAAAAGTGCTATAAAAATCCCATGTATTATTATTATTATTTATTATTATAACATGTTGATATACAATATACCATAACAAAGTTTTAATTGACTCGTTCTACAGTATTATTAGATAAGATCTTTCAGTGTAAACAAGGGGGAAGTTTGATGGATTTCATCACTGGTGTCAAAGCACAACTCGGTGTATTATGAAGTGTGATATCTGATCTACGTGAGCCTACCTTTTTATGTCTGAGTGGCATTCTCTCGTCTCCAAAATTGTTCTCAATTGAGTTTCCTGAATTCGTGATGGACATCTTGGGAATTTTCATCTTCTTTTGCATTATACTGTCTTCAAATTCCTCTACTGTATCTGTGGAGTGCAGAAATAAGAAGCAGGGAGAAACTCGTAAAGTTTTCAAAAAGTTTTCATGAAACTTAAAAAAGTACCTGCAGAATTATTTCATCCATTTGTCAAACTGGAGCAGAGGGCGTTTCGTCTCTCCATTCTGCTACAAAAAAACTAACTTTAGCACCTTTAGCATAGAAGTTAAATGTAAAATAAACAGATACACATAGTCCTGGCATCATGGCTGTAACACAGTGTCACTGCTGCTGTGTGCGGTGTGTTAAACAGGTCGGTGAGGACCAGGCAGCTCAGTTTGGGGATTAGTGATGCAGCTAAGATCGAGCATGGAAAACCACCGTGAGCAAACATCACTGAGACTAACGTTAAGCATGTTATTTTACACCACATCACATGTATGCGCTGTCATGAAGCAGCCATGACATGTCACTGACAGCTATATGTCCATTAATATCTGGTGATGACTGCAGCACCGCATCCGCTCTGTGGCATTAACCAACAGATAAGCTAACAAGCTAACCGCAACCGAGAAAAGGGGCTTCAGCTACAGTCTAGTCTACATGTCTAGACCTTTAAAATATACACATGAGGGGTCCACCACTGTCACATGTGTTTACCATGTTGTGACGCGGCTGCTAACTAGCGCGTCAGTGCTAACATGCTAACGCGGAACGAATACACATGAAGCTAGCAAGTGTTAGCTGCGTGTTGTAAACAACCGAGGTGCCTGTGTAATGCCACGTATTAAACGACACAAAAACTACTCTATCGAAACAAAACAAGCACTCTGGGAGAACAACACCCTGAGTGTTTATAGTCTGCATTGCTGTCAAGGTATGGCTACCTACCAAACTTATCTTAGCATATCTCACTAGCTTATCTAGCTAGGCGAGGACGTTGTTGTGGCTTCAGTGTCAGACAGCTGATCACGTCTCTGACAGATCGGGTGAAGAAAGGACCGGCTTTGACACCCTGACACGTTCCGCGCACGTCAACGTTACTTAGTGATGAAAAAAGAGCATTCAGAATGAGAAAAGCTCATGTGTTAAGAGGTTAACTTACCTGCAAGGGCAAGGATCTGCGCTTCGCTCGGCTGGCCTGCACTGCTGCCATTCTCTTCAGTTCTGTGAACCAGATACACCTTCTGATTATCAAAATCTGTCCTGTGCAGAGGTCTGAAATCTTCCACTGTGGAAACGGGCAACGCGTAGCACATATCGTCTTCAAAGAATCTAACAAAAGCATACATTATTTACTTCTCTTTGGTCCTGCACTTTGGATATGGTTGACAGTTTTTCCTCACAAAGTATTAGAAAAAAATATATACACATAGGGGGGTTGGGGAGGGTGTCTGCGCTCGGCTACTCTTGCCTGGTCCACATCACCAGGGAAGATCATCAAGGCATGAGTAATAGACATAACATCAACTTTACTGTAAGATAAGTATTAAAACACTACTTATTAGATTTATTTATGTAAACATTTGAAACACTTTATTCATAGCACCTGTAGTGTAATAAATAAATAAAAGAGGCCATAAGACTGATCCTGAAGTCGCCACTCACCATTTTTACTTATTATTATACATATTAATATATCATTACGGTACACAGTATTTATTCTAGTGTGTATTATTTCTGCTTTTATCTTATTCTATCCTACATGTACATAGTTTACTTATTCCTGTATTTTACTTGCACCATTTTTCATTGCACTATTTCACTTCCTTATTTCTTTTATGTCGTAAGTATATAGTATATTGCACTGTTGATTCGGCCTTGGGACCTTACATTGTCATTGCAAACAACTAGTCTATAGCTATTGTGCAAATGACAACATATGAATCTTTAAATCTTGAATAATAAATGGATTGTTGATTTCTTAAGATATCCAAAATCAACATATTAAGAAAAGTGTGTTTAGTTTAACGAATAGTTTTAAAAGGATGAAGCAGGACATTACAGCTGTCATGATTCATTGTGATCAATTAAGACACCAATTACTTCTCACTCTCAGGTCATTGTTTCGGGGAATACATGGTGATTACCTGCCGGTCAGATCTCAGTGTGTTTCTGGAGCAGCTTCTCCTCTGCTCCTCGTATCCCAACAGAAAGACTTGAGGCCAGCTGACAGAAACGAACTCTTTGTTATTGTAAGACATTCAGGTGGTTATAAACACGGGATGGATTCCTCTCAGTTGTTTCTCTAATGGAGAGCACCACAGTCGATAAATGACACTAACAATTTCGTTCTGCTTCGGCTGCTGTAATTGAAAAGTAAGTGATGCAGAACTTTATAAAGCCTTTTTCCCCCCTCTGATATTTCCTTTCATAGTTTCAGACATTTAGTTAGTTATGATTAGGCCTGTTTGAAATGCCAGCTTCCCTCTGATGTTTGTTCAGTGTGCTGTATGACCGCTTCCAGAGTCTGTTAGATGTATACAAGATAATTTAGAAACAAACAAACAAAGCAATAACCATAACTCTCCAAACATAATAAACGTCATTATATGTCAGTTATTGGAGCGGTGTTTTCAATACAAGGGAGTTGTTACATGCTTTGCTTTCAAATAGCTCACTGAAGCACACTTAAATATATTTACAGAAGCTACATCGTGCACAAGACAGTATAATTAGAGTACTTTTTGGCATGGTAATTCCTTTACAGTATATCAATGCACTGACGCGTTGGCAGATTGCCTGAAACTATATCAGGAATATGAGTGATGGACAAGAGATTGGAGAAGCTTCTGAACAAGTCGAACAGAGGATTACTGCTAATCTGATCTTCTGTTCGATGTGCTCGTCAACATGAGGCTGCTCACTTCCTGCAGTCTTTCAACCGGCCGGAGTTTAAAGAGGAACACTTAAAAAAGTCTGGTGTGATGTTACTACAGCAAGTTCAGTCAAAATGTAAACTTCAAAACTACATTTCCTAAATCCTTACACGTCCATGTCGACGCAACAAAGATGGAAGTCTGCCTGGAGACAAGTTGACGAATTTGAGCAACTTATTTTATTTGACGGATGTTTCTTCATGTGACAATGACATTTCCATTTACAACAGTATGCCTGCATCCTTCCAGAAACAAGGGCGAAGTCGAAAGGGACTCGGCTTGGCAACTGGGAGGTCACCAGTTTAAGTCCCGGAAAGACCAAGTGCCACCGAGGTGTCCCTGAGCAAGGCACCGTTCCCTACACTGCTCCCCGGGTGCCGTACATAATGGCAGCACACTGCTCCTAACACTAGGATGGGTCAAATGCAGACAAACCGTTTCGTTACGTAGTACCTGTAATGAATATAAGTTGAATCTATTTATTTAAA